TTTGGAAATAATTGTTTATTTTATTTATTTTACTTAAAATTTTTTTATTAATCTAAAAAATAAAAAATAATTATTTTTAAATAAATTCCAAATAATAAAACCTATTATTATGAGACGGTGAGTAATTTTTACTTTACATGTGGAAGTTTTTAATTTTTTACTATTTAACTTGCACAGGAAAAGCACTCTATAAGAACAATAAGGAAAAAAGGGGTAGATGCTGCCTATGAAATGCTTGTGGAAGAAATGTCAAAAAAGGGATGTTCTGGTATGGTGAGCTATACAACTTTAATATCTTCTGTGTAAGCTTGGCAAGTTAGATGAAGCAAGGAGGGTTGTGCTCAGACATCGACCAGTTGTGAGTGTATATAATGCTTTGATAAATGGTTTCTGTGTGGTGAATTCAAATTTGAGGCCTTTTGTTTGTTAGTTGAGATGGCAGAGTATGGTCTAGATCCTAATGTTATCATTTATTCAACGATTATCAGTTCTCTTTCTGATGTAGGGAAGCTCGAGATGTCCCTGGCAATGTTGGCCAAGATGTTTGTGAGAGGATGTGGCCCCAACATCCACACCTTTGCATCATTAATGCTGCAAAAAAACACGGTTTGCAGTGTGAAGGGGTCCTCATCTTCTCCCATTTTGGTAAATTTTTCTATCTTTCTGTTTTTTTTTGAATGATTTCTCGATAATTAGATCCTGAAAAACTCTTGCCTTTTTTCTTTTTTTTTTCCTGATGAAATTTTTTTCCGAAGAACAGAACAAATAAGGGCAGCACCCTCCACATATGGAAAACAGTCACTACAAGAAAAGGATTTTTTTTTACCAAAAGTAATAACTGATTTTTAATTTGTCACTATTATCCCCTATATTTGTGACTAATTCAAGATATTGGTGTTTGATACTAATTTTTAAAATTAAAATATATAATTTTGACACAACTTATATTCAGTCACAAAATTATCACAATAAATAACATAAATTTATAACAATTAAAATCGTTACAATAAGATAATCATTAATTATTGATAAAATATTAATTACAAATAATTAATTTTTTTCTATTACAATTACATTTTATGATTGCATATATAATTTATTGAAAAAAATA